TATTATATGTATGTATATATATATATATATATATATGTATATATATATATATTTAAGCACACAATCACACACACATACACATGTATTTATGCATAACACCAGTGCTCATTTTCCTAAACACTTGAATAGTAAGACAGCTAAGGTCGCGTGTGACGGAGCGGTACCTACGAAAGGTGACACCACTTACTGAGGTCAGGTTTGATTGACAGTATAGATATGGCTCATCTTGAGTAGCCAAATCTCACGAAATGAAGCAGTAATCATACTGCATATTCTTTGTGAGTATTTTTCTAATATATTTTGAAATACATTGACGGATATTTACAAAAAACAATGATATGGTCCCCTACAACAAGGGCTTTGTCCATGCAGAGCCATGCTACAATCCAGTAAATGAGCTAGATTTTATAGAGGAATTTTGTTACGTGCGTGCATCGACGCACGTATCCACTCGGAAGCCCTCAGTGCAGTCGCTGAATGATGCACATATCAGGGAAAGGGCATATCCTTATATGTGTTTGATTAATTATTATTCTTCAAAGATCCTTAAAATATTTAGTAAAATGAACCTTTACTTGATTACTTATTGTGATCACTAATAATCTTTCTTTATCTAAATTTTCAACTTTACAGAACAATGGTCTTAGAAACCTACTTCTGGAATGGATCATAAAGTGCCATTTCAATTTTAAGTAGAATCAGAACTCAGATTATATAATGCAACTTCATGGTAAATGGAAAGAGGAATTCATGTGGGAGTGTTTATTTAAACTTGACATGTAGCCACAGTACATATGCTCTAAGTTTCAGGCATCAACCACTGAATGTTAAGAAGTCAATAGATGTCTCTCCTGAAGCCTAGCTGGAGTTGAATGGCTTCATCACCACGGAAATGTACATGCAAACTCATCTGCCTAATAATAATAAATACATTAAAACTTTCAATAGCTTCAACTTAAAAATACAAATACTATCCTTCATAATAAACTAAGGTACTAAGTATAACTATCTTTCAAGCTTGAATTAGTGTCCGCTGGATGGGTTTCTCCTATCAATAATCATAAAAAAGTAATGACAATAAAATAACAATAACAAACTAATAATAAACAAAAAACTAAGTAAATTCCACGGTCACTGAAGACAAAGAGTGGAGGTGATAGGAAAGAATGCATACAGTGGTTCTTCATTGTCGGACTTTTAAATTCTATACACATTTTTCTTCTAACAAATTTATAGAAACCTGGCAACTACCTCTCCTCTCCACACACTGCTATAATACCTGCCAGCCATCACACCGGGAAAGTGTGCCAATTAGGTTGTTGAAGATGAGATAGTATTTGATCTTCTTTTAAATATTGGTAGCTGACTGATGCACAACCTCAGTACAACTACAGATAGCTGGCAAAACTTCAATGTAGGTAGAAGCAAGCTTACACTTTATTTCGAACTATTTCAATGAGGTAGGCTGTTCCCCTGGGGGAAAGCTGCTCAAGCCAGACCAATTATAAATTCCCTAAATTGCTAATGAACAACCATTGAACACATACCATTGGCCTTTGGAAAGCATTACCTCATCAATAACAAGGGACAACTTTTTATTTTATTTTTTAACATTTTTGTTTTTAGCCTTCTTCCATTTGCTATTCGAAGGCACACAATGGACAAAACTTCGGCTATTTCACCTTCAGTCTCATGTCAGAGTGAAGGATACAGCATTACAGCCCGCTAATCATTAAGTTTAGGAATGGTTTGACAGAGACAGGTTAATGTTTATCCTTCAGTCTGAAAATAATCACATCTATTAGGTTTACAGGATACCGTATGTCTTCACCATGAATTATTATGTCTATCATCCTTATTGATTTAATCTATATATACATATTATATTCTAAATCCTCACAGAATCAACTTCAAAATCTCTACACTGGGACACCAATGATAAATCAATCTGAGGAAAAGGCAAAACAGTGCTACGTCACATACAGCATAAATCTTGATGGGATAAACTATATACACTGGGATCATTTGATAAGGTATACAAATTATATTAATTCAAACTCTATTAAAAAGTGCAACAAAAAATACAGAAAAAAAAGTAATAATAATAATAAAACCATCATGTGAGGCAGCATGTCTTGCCTCGCACCTCCACTTTTTTTTTTTTTTATAAATCCTTTTAACGAGAACTATAGAAGGAAAAGGGGGGAGGGGGGAATTTAATAATAATATTAATAAACAAAAAATGAACAAACAGGACGACAGTTTGTGTAACAGCCGAGTGAATGACCTGACCGCCTCTACAGCACACTCACTCATTCTCACACTAACCATACACTACTCAACAATAAGCTGTATTTTGCTCTCACTGGGCATAACAAATTCAGCCCATTTATACTGGAGTTAATCATGTGGAACTCTAGAGGCAGATTTTGGACACATTATATCCCTGGGGATAAGTCATCAACTTGGTACACAATTTTCTTTTATATTTCCAATAACTTATGGAACATTCTCATAAAGGCTCTGTTTATTATTACTTTTTATATTAGTTACAAGCTGTAGCCTTAGTTTAACAAAGTCTACCATTACTATTGAACCAACCTGAATGTTCACACACTGGTGATCAACTTGCAGGGGGAATCCTGAATTAGTGTTTACATGCTGTAGCCTTGGTAGGAGGGCATGCCAGCTCCGTAGTTAATGTTGTTAGCATAACCAGCGTTGGGGTAGCCAGGTCCCATCATGCCTGGGCCAGCTGTGATCATAAGCTGTGGCTCACCTGCAAGGGACACACACCTTTGGAGCTTTTGGGCAACACAGTAGAGAAAGTGTGAAAAATAAGTCATACTACTAATAACAATAATTAGGAATGTAACTAATGAGAATAATAAATAATTCAACTGTAATGAAAAACTAAAAACTTCATGCTAAACAGGGGAACCAATCATACCCATTTAAGGCATCAAATATAACACACACACATGGCAGTGTGAGCTTAAAAGGATATAGATGTGACATACTGAGGTGGAGGAAACAATGATGATATATGGAAAATAAATAAATAGGAGATAGCTAGGTTTGATGAGTGTGAGGCAGAACTGCAGTCAACTGTGTGACATACCATGTAAGTTTAAAAAAAGGTTTCTCAAGCATTAAAACTTGGGGGGGGGGGAAAAAAAAAAAAGACGTTTAATTAAGCAGCGGGTGCACAAGCTACTCACCAATCATATTCATCATTGGTTTGCTCTCATTGGTCTCATTCTCTTCACCCCTTCTCTTTTCAAGGTCCTCAAGTTTGTTAACCTTTGTGACATATTCACGCATCACATTGATTAAATAGGGCATGGCAAAGTCCATAATATTGTGCCTCCATGCCAACTCTAAGATAACATCAGGATGGAGCAGGTCGTAGCAGTGGAAGAGGCAGGCAGCAAAACAATCAAAGTTGCCATTCTCCAAGAACCATTGGAGTAGCTCCTCAGCTGTGTCTGAATTCTTGCTCTCTGCAGCGTATTCCATGGCATCCTGTGAAAGAAGGGACATGGTCACTTTACAGTTTGAAATTTTCTCTATCTTTTTCCTTTTCCTCAAATACATAAAGAATCAAGAACTACAAATAACACCACATACCTTGAAGAGCTTGTCTTTCTTGCACAACTCTACAGACTGTTTCCATCTATTGTTTCCTTTGTACAGGTAAGCGGCGATACGACGGAACTCTATCAAATCGTGTTTCTCGAGGGACTGGGCAAGAGCAATGTTATCGAAGTGGTCGAATGCGTCGATGGAAGTCCTGAGCCCAGTGTAATCCTCCTCCTCAATAAGAAGGGAGTTAAGAGCCTCATTGATGGCCTTGTTGTTCAGAGACTGAACTGATCTGAGGTAACCCTTTACCAGTTTCAGATGGTTTACCTGAAATAAAATTAGAGAAAAACAGTAAGTATCTAACATGGAATCTGATGATTTTCACTGAATCCAATTTTGTTCCGATTAACATCAAGTCTGCAGACCAAAGTAACATTTTGTTTCCTCATAAATTAAAACATATATTGAGACACTCAAAGGGACATTTTATTTCAAAACACTGATTCTGGATTATGTTGCAACCAATCACAGTCCTTCTTACCTTTGAGAAGAAGTTAACAGCCCTAGTATGGTCCATTCTAGGTGAAAGGACAAGTAACAAGTCATTCAACAGCATGGGCTTGTAGTCCAGATAAAATTGAATGGCTTTGTAATACAGTTCAATGTTGGCAACCTGAAAGGGAGAGAAATCTAACATTAATATAAAAGCTTGTGCATTAATTACCTGAAAGTAAGTTGTTTATTTCAATACATTTTATGAATATCCTTCAAGGTACTGATTCAAAACAAAAGCTCAATGAAACTTACTTTGGTAATGACATCCTTGAAGTGCGATTCTCGCCAAGCCTCTGTTGGATGAGCCATCATGGTCAGAACAGCATTGTCGTACTCCTCATACTTGTCATAAAGAAACACCAATTCTGCCCACAAATGTGCTTGTTCTGCTGCTCGCAAAACCTAACAAAAAATAAACAAAAAATCAAGGTCATATAGCAAGCAAATTTTGATGATAGTCAAATATCCTGAGGTTGCACAGGAATGATATCAACAAAATAATACTAAGTAGGCTATTACAGTAATTTTTGTTTACATATTCAACCTGCAGTTTTCTTCTGACTTTCAGTATTCTTCAGTTGTGATTCAAACAGTACTTGCCTTTGGAATGTTAACCCTGGACCAGAATAGCTCAAGATGTTCACGCATCTTTTCAGGCTTGTACTTGGAGTATAAAATTGCAAGTTCTGTAAACATTCCCATGTGTGCACGCTCCAGGCCCAGTGCAGCCTCTAACAAGTTTATCAACTCGTCAAAGTAACCACGATCCTGTCAAAGATCAGGGCAAAAGTTACCTAATGGTTTTAATTACTTAATATTTCATCTTCACAAAACTGATGAAAATACACTACACAAATTCATCATCCACATAATTACACACAATAAACCAATAGACCTTACTTGATAGTAATTGATGAGGTCTTCCAGTTCATCAGCATGAACAACAATGTGAAGACCACAGTTCTGAGCCAGGCGAAACTGTTCATTGTCCACACATGCAAAGCAAACTTCTTTCCATGTTCTTGTGCTGTGGGAATAGCATACTGTCATTTGCTTGTTTGTCCCTGACTGATCATTGAGGAGGTACAGCCTTTTAGAGTTGGCTGAAAGTCTTCTTGACATCATATGTGCTGCATCCAGATTCATAAACAGCAAGGAAAAAAGGTTTCCTGTGCTTCTAATCTTCAGCAGCCAACTACAACTGGTGTAGGCTCAATATGGCATGGGTAAAAGCCACTGTCATAAGGTTATGTAATAAACTGGCAGGTATTGTAACTAATATGCAAACTCAATACAATGATTTTTTTAAAGTGATTCTAGAAAACAGACTTAAAAGAAGTCCTCCCTGTCTAGGGAATAAACAGAAGGTGGGAAAGGTTAGGTTTGGATTTTTGGGTTCACATGCTACCCTGGTCTTGAACTTTGTCTCTGAAGGATGTGTTGCTCTGGGTAACAAATACTATTTGCATTCACAGATTACCTGTTTGCCTTCCTGGCTGATTCGACAGCTCCCTGGAACTCCTTCAGATGGACTAATGTAATGGCCAGACGAGCAAAATTGCTAACATTGTTGTAAAGGAGTTTGGCTGCCTCATACATGCTATCATCGAAGCACCGGTCACCAATCTAGAAATTTTTACAAATCATACACTGATACTAAATATATTTTCTATATGTATCCCTTACAAACCCAATATAGAAGATTTTTAGACATTTTTATGATAATTCTGGCCATGCAGATTATAATAATAATAATAATAATAATAATAATAATAATTATTATTTTTTTTTTAATTCTTTGCATCTTATTCTTACAGATTACATATGAAGAAATAAATAGAAAGCAATAACTGACTCCCCAAAAGCAATAACTGACTCCCACTCTACATACCAAACAAATTTCAACATGGAAAACACTGCAAACGAACCTTTTGAATATCAGCATGGTTAGGAGCAGCAATAAACTCCTCCAGATCTGCGAGCCTGTTTGTCTTGGCATAAGCATAGCAGAGTTCACTCTCAACATATGATTCCCGAGCCTTCTTTCGTGCCATAACTAAATAGCGCACCAAGTCTTCCCAGTGACCTTAAAAAAAAAATGATTTAAGAACTCCTTAGGGCATTATTTATCTGATTACGACACTTTCTTCTTTTTGTCAAATCAAAATCTCATAACTGATTTGGGTACTCTTCCGAAACCCTTGCCTTCATAAAAGGAATATATCTGATTTTCTTAACAAACCTCAAGAAGTTAATTATGTACAATAGTTTTACACTATCTAATACAATTTATTTATGAATGAAAAGGAATCGAACTTTATTTGCATTTACTTTTTTGTTAGGTAAAAAAATATAATAAACTTATTTTTTCCAAAATACAAGAAATTTGGATAAAACTATGAATTAAAATGTGAAGAAAAATATGCTTTCTCTCATCATTCAGTGACCTTTCTTTAATGATCTGGTCCTACTTTCTGAGACAGGGTCTTCAGATTTAGTTTGTGAAGAAACAGGTCTTGACAATATGGTACCCTTATACAAAGGAGATTGATCTCAAGTGACAAGAAATGTGAAATTAGGACCTAAAGGCCTTATCACACTATCACTTTTTCTTTTAATTTTTGCATTTCCCAATGAACTTTACATATGAAAATCAACTGATACTATCACATTCCCAAGGCAGTAAACACTAACAATGTAAACAAACATGGCACTATCGGAGTGAGATCTCAAGAATCATACAAATATCTTCCTATATATTACATTATTTTAAAGAAATATGATGTATATACAAATATGATTAAGCTTATGTTTACAATCACTCATTCTATCTAATTTATCAATAAAACAACATTCTAGTTGTGTTGATCTTTCATAGCACAAAATCAAGCCAGAAATTAGTCAGACAAACTGTTGTAATTGTCTTTGTCTGGGTATTCTATTTGCAAAAGATACTTGCAGAAAGCCACAAATTCAGATGGAAACACAAAAATTGATGGAAAAAGTGCTTGTGATAGGGCCTTAACCCGTTGCTGCTGGGTGGCACGTACGTACATGCCATGGCTGTTGTGGTCCGATAGGGCCTTAACCCGTTGCTGCCGGGTGGCACGTACGTACATGCCATGGCTGTTGTGGACCAAACGCCGGGGGGCATTGTGTCATGCCCATTCCCGCGCCAATGGCTCGTTGGACGGAGGTTGTTTTACTCCGATAGTAGCTGCTTCATTTATATGGTAAAGATTTTAGGCAATGGCACCTATAATGAAGGTAAACCTTAAAAATTTTAATATTTTTATAAATTTTAGCAAAATAAAAGCTTTTAGGTGCTAAATGTCGCTCGCAAACTACCGATCGAGCCGGGTGCAAACAGGGGAAACTGCTGATGCCCGCCAACAAGCCTGTGCATACGTCCACTTCCCAATATTTTTACCTGTCGGCGATGGGTTAACCCACTAGCAATGGTACATTTTGTGGAACACCCATTGTGAGTGAGTTAACTGATTTAGGCAAGGGGGCTGGAAAAAGTTTAAGCCAAAACAATGTAAATAGCTATATTTTCTTTTTGCCCATGCTGATGGCAAGTGGTCCCCTTAATGAAGCTTAGTGTATGTTATTCAGTTTGAAAGTGCCTTAAAAATTTGGCTATACACTTTACATAAAATACCAACCAGTTCGATGAGCTGTATCTACAACATCAATATAAGCTGTAGGATCATCAGCCTTGATGAAAGAATCAATAGCCTCTTTAACTAAGGACTGCTGCAACTGAGCCTTGGCTAGCTGACTCCACACAGCACTCTCGTTGCACCGTTCAGCAAATTCGTATGCCCTATCCAGATTGGATATGTGTTCAATCAACACCTGTAAATAAAATAAAAAAAACCTTAGAATAGCAAATGCCAAAGTTGAATATTTTCTAGCCCTTGATAATGAAATACATTCTGAAGTCCCCCTAAATATTACTACCATTACATTCAGTTGAACTTTATATCAAATATTAAACTGAAAATTAAAATTAGCACGAGTAGTATACCTGAATGGCAGAAGTGTTCACATCAAACTTCTTAAAGATGGCAAAAGCTTCTTCATAGAGTTGATTCCCAATGGCAATGTTGGCAATATCAGGTGCATCATAATTATCAAGACGGGTGATGTAGTCCATCACACGTGTGTGGTCTGCCTTGATAGCAGTTAGGATCAAGAGGTTTTGGAGGTTCCTGTGAGATGAATTCATTTATCTATTTTTATCTTTTATTATCAACATCATTAACACTACCTAACCTAAAATATACACCAACATGTCAAAGGGGATTAGTGGAAGAAAGGTTAAAACTGATCCATTATGTCCAAGTTTTTAAAAAATTACTTGTTACCCATTAACCTTCTCCCAGGACCTTATGATCTTTTGCATTTACCTGTGGTCACTGAAGGCAGAATTATCCAACACAATCTTCTCCAGAAGCTCAATAAGTTCATTTGGTAAATCTGCAGTCATGAAAGCTTTCACTGTGACAGAAATATCTTCAGGATCCTGAGTTTCTGACAGAGCTGTCTGTACAACCTATAAAAGTAAAACCAAACTTATGAACAATTTGGATCACATCAGATATAATAAAATTAACAAGACAAATAAAAAATTTAAAACTGCTAATCCTTTCTCTCTGACCTGATCAATGAGTGGTCTTCGGTACTGATTCGTCTCCTGGAGCACCTCGGCCCAGAGCTCAGGATCCCTTCGCCTCACAAGATAGCGAGCCTCTGACTTGAAGAGTGAGTTCTCATTGCATACATTGATCAGTTCTCGGTCACACTGGCCACGTTCATAGGCAATACAGGCTAGGTGTGGATCCCTCTTCTCACAGTACTTGCCTGAAATTTAATTTCAGTTTGTTACCAAACCTAATGCCTAATGAAATGGAAGAAGGAAAAAAAGACAGCAATTTAGATTTTTCACACATGATATCCTTATAAAAAATGCTGAAAATATTCTACTTGCCCACAACTTTGCTATCATAGTTTCTATTCTCGCGCAGGAATCTTTCAGGATTGTTATTGGAGTCGATGTAGATCTTAGCAATCGCATTATGTGTGGCAGGCTCATTGACCCCCTCATGAATACGAGATTCCAGCCATGATAACAGCAGCTTCAAGCGATTCCTCTTCTCCACCTATAAAGAATCATCTCCATATAAATCCACTACGAAAAACTATGGCAATGACTATATTTTACCCAATAAAGCCTAAAAAAAGAACTCGGGTAAAAAATAATGAAAAATAAGAGCTTCAGCAATTACCTCTTCCACCAACTCATCTGTTGAGAACTGTCCACGCACAACCATGATCAACTGCTTGATCACATCTTCAGCACAGTCAACATCAAGAAGACCTCCCACAACAACTGGCAGACGTGATGGATTTACCTGTAAGATTGAGAATTGTGGGTATCATTGCATTTTCATATACTGGAAAACACTAGTCTGAAGATAGAAACAGACTGAAGAAATAATTTACCAAATATCTTGATTATTTAAACCACTCAATTCTACAGTCAAAGAACAAAACTTACCTTCTGTACATAAATCTCAATGTATTTCTGCAAGTTGTTACGGTACAGGTAGAGCACCAAATCATGGACAAAGTCAAAACGATCACAAACAATGATGAGTGGAAGCTGGTCAGTGAGTTTGGCCTCTTTCAGGAAATTCTTCACACGTTCTGGATTGTAGCAGTTGGATTCACGGCATATTCTCTCAACCTAAAAATATTAAATTACTTAAAATAACCCTAGTAACACAATATGGGTCTGATTTAGCCAAATATATCAAAGAAAAGGGTATTATCATAAATTTTGGTAAATTTT